TGGAAAAACATAGTTCCTTTCTTACTCAAATGTAAAAACATTTATAAACTTCTTTGGGAATACTTAGTTCCCTAATAACTTTTGAGAAATGAACTCAACTCTATACTCTTGGCTTAACTTGAAACTTGAGCCTTAAAACGAAGTTAAAACGTTCAATAAAGACTCTTGAAAAACTTTAAAGACTTGCTTTGACTTGCTTCTTAACTTCTAGACTTGACTCTAACTTCACTTGACTTTGATCCTAACTTTCCTCGAATTGGATTACAGATTTAAGGGTAATGATCTCATGTTTATGGATGAGTTCGTAATGTTTAGATGTACCTTAGGGTGTTGAAAACAACTAGAAAACATAGGTACATTACCAAGGAACATGTATGAAAAAGTGGGGAAGGGATGAGGAGAACTGGCGTCCTTGGCGCTCTGAGAGGCGCGGGGCGCCAGCCCTCAAGTTTCAGAGGGGCTGCTGGGGCGTTCTGCATGGCGCGCCGCCCCAAGGGGGGGACTTCAGAACCCCTGCTGGGGTGCTCTGGCTGGCGCGACGCCCTACCCTTTTTCCCCGAAAAACTGACTTTCTTCCTTAGTTTCTCTAACTCTAAACCCTCTCAACAACAAAGGTTCTTTCCCCAAACACTTAGAATCATTAAAACCCTTAATATACAATAGCTTCAACTCGAAATCACACTCGGAAACACGTACCAAACCAACAAGAAACTTCAACAACACAACCACAAGAATTCAACAACCACAACCAATCTTTTCTCGGAATTAAAACAAGTATGGCGTGTGGGGGAATGAACCAACCCAACACTATGATCTCACATACCTTATTAGGGATCACCCCCGACGAAAACCATGACGATCTTGACGAACTTTGCTTTTTCTTCACTTTCTCCTCTTCTTTCTCTCTTCACTCACAACCCTAACTCTCACTTTTAAAAGGGAAAAACTGAATTAAAATCAGTCTAGACCCTTAATATAACCAAAAGAAATGGTTAGGGAAAAGACCAAAATACCCCTACAAATTCGGACTAAACTGCCCTAAGCCAACAGCCCAATTTCCAAAGGGCATAACTCACTCATACGAACTCGAAATCAAGCAAACTCAGCGGCGTTGGAAAGATCATTCCAAGGGCTTTCCAAAAATAACTGGATATACACCTAACTTATTCTGAGCTAGGAGTTATGACTGTTTCAAGTTGACCAAAAACTCTTTTTTTTTCCATACTTGACTAAATTTCCAGATTTTGAATTCTTTCCAAAAATGACTATTTCCAATTATAAGCTTCTTCATAGTTATTCCAATTTACAAGATGTTACAATACCAAACACACCCTATATCATAGCTCAGTATGCTTTGTTCAACTATATATATTTGTTCAGCTTTATCATATCCTGCATGCTCAGTACCTTTCAAATACTAACGCATACTCTGCGCTATATCTTTTCGTAATGTAGGTTCAGGTCCTCAGAATTCAGATATGTGTAGATCGGTTTCCGATACATAATCAACAATATCAGTGGTGAGTCCTCATTCTTCGAGGACGACATACATGTTTCTTATTTATTCAGTCTTTCATTTTAGTTTCAGTTTTGCTAAAGTTAGTTGGGGGCATGTCCCAACATCTCTAGTCAGTTAGAGACTTTTAATCAGACATAGTTAGATTCAGTTTTAGTATTTGAGTTTGATCTTCCAGTTGTTATTAAACTCATAGCCTTTTATATTCAGATAGTTTTGGGTATTCCCCATCATTTCAGTTAATTATGGTTTTAAGCTTCCGCACAATATTTCTTATCTCAGCTTAATATGCTTATGATATACCAGCTCAGGGTTAGCTTCGGGTCACTCGTGATCCTAGGTCCCATGTTTATGTCAAGGGGGTAGGCCTCGGGGTAGGACACCTAACTCCTAGAAAATAGGAACAGATAAACTAACGTGACATGTCCTTAATAAGTTTTACAAACTTAAAGCCTAAACTAACCGAACATGACTTATCCTCTGTTAGAAATAAGTGTCCAAATGCTACCCCAAATAAAAAAGATTGGGGTCACATGAAGCCCAAAAGGGGGCCAGTCCATAATGCTTAATGTCCATAGCCAAAGTTTTCTTATTTAGAAGTTTCCCTAGTTTGAAATTTCCTAATTAAAAACTTTTCTAGTTATTATTTCGATAAAGGTATAATTTGAATCTCATTCCATTAGGTATAGGTTTTCCCTATATATATGGATGGATTTTGATACTTTTTATTAAACATGATTCCTATTATTTGAGATGATTTGAAATAAAATATATTATTTTAGATGATTCTTTTCTTTACACCTTAGTATGTGGTGACTATAAATTTATCTAATAACTTTATAAGGAAAAAGATGAACTTTTTTGAATGGACTAAAAAAGAAAGTAAAATAAACAAATTGAAATCGAGGGAGTAATTGATATCATATGCACCGCGTAAATTAAACAAGATCAAGATTAAATTATTTTGAACACAAATTGGTAGATTATCAAAATCGTGCTTAATTACACCTCCCTAAGATATTGACTACACTAGTTATTGACTTCCTATAAAAGTAGATTTTTTAAATCTGATATTTCCCATCTCTATTAACTAATTGTCTAAATTTTATCCTTCATTTAGTATAAGGTAGTAGGAAAAAAAAGAGAAACCAAGAAAGAGAACAAAAATTCAAAATTCTCTTCTTTTTTTTGTCTCTCATAATCTTCATAGGCTAAAAGATGGATTGTGAGATAACTGGTAATGTAAATGTTCCTTCAGCTTACATTGGCCTCAGAATTCTCTTGGTTGATCATGATACAACTTCTTTATCAAATATAACAACAATTCTCGAAGAACATTCTTTTAAAGGTATGACAATATTATATCTCTTTTAGTTTTCTCTGATATGTGTTGGAGTTTTTTCCCCCTTATATTTGTTGGATCTTCTACATAAAATTTGTACTTATATTCTATAGTTAAAGAAGTGAATTTCCGTAAAATTGATGATTGATGATTGATGTTTTTTTTTATCATAAATGAAACATAAAATTCAAATTTAAATTTATTTGGAGTAATTTCAGGTTGAAATTTGAAGAAGAAAACAAGATTATTTTATTGGCAAAAAGATATTTGATGCACATGCCTAAAAATTTTAGTCAATTTTAACATGTGTTTCAATCATGTATGACTTGGCGTAGGTATAGATGAATAAATTACACTAGTGTTGAATGAATTTGTTGTATTTGTTGTTGTTTCAATAAATTGTGGTTGAAATTTGTCATTTATGATTCTCGAGAACATAACAAATGGATGTGACATAGTTAAATTATCTACCAAATGGATGTTTGAGAACATAAGTTTTTTTCTAAATATTTAATCTGAACTGTCCAACATAAACACTTTATCATTTGTTTAAACGCTCAATTGGAGCATGTTGTAGTTTAAATATTTAAAGAAAAATTATTATCAAGTTGGATATATTCAATCTTATGAAAATACATTCACTTAATCGTCAAATTTATCAACATGTTAACTGAGATGTATTTTAAATGGAAAAGAATCAATTGGATTCTTAGGCAACAAGATTAAATTAATTAACTTATCAAAGACTTGAATGATTTAATCTCTTAGTATCAATCAAATATTCATGTATATACTTGTAATGTAATATTATTAGTGAGGTCATACTACCTTTATCTGAGTAATAACATAAAGGAAAGTGAAGGTATACCACTAATTATTATGAAAATATCCCTCAATATATAAAACTTTTTTGTGATATTTTCTGAGTTTGATTTTTGTTTATATAGTAACTGCAATAGAACAAGCAACTATAGCTCTATCCATTCTCCGGGAACAAATCGACCAATTTAACTTGGTCATGGTGGATGTCAACATGCCCGAAATGAACTACCTTGAGTTCATCAAGTCCACTCAACTCATCAAAGACAAACCTATCATTTGTAAGATCATTTTATCAAAATCTTAATTATTTTATGTGGTTTAATTAGTGTGTAGTATTCAATAATTCAAAGTGTATTTAAACGTGTTAATATCACACATCATTACTGAACTTTATCTACTTTAATAATAATGTCAAAAAATTGACTTCTAAACACACTAATGTTACTTGTAGTTTCTCTATATGTTTTTTTTGGGCAAATTCTATATTTATATATGTCCCTTACAAACGTGGTGTATATATTTATGAACATCTAGGGTGTGTTTGGTATAAAGGAAAATATTTTCCGAAAAATATTTTTCAATTTTCTCATGTTTGATTGGGTTAAATGTTTTGGAAAATATTGTCCAAATCAATTCATTTTCCTCAAATTTAAGGAAAATAACTTCCATTCAAAACTTTAGGAAAACATTTTTCAAAACATTTAACCCCATCCCCAAAAACTTTAAGTTTGTTTTTAAAAAATATCTTCAACTTCAAAATTTTATTTTTTCACCCGGTCCTCGACACCCCCCCCCCCCCCCAAAAAATAAATAATTGAGTTTGTTTTTAAAAACTATTTTCAACTTCAAAATTTCAATTTTTTTTCACCCTTCACTCGATCCCTCCCCCCCACACCCAAAAAATAATAATAAGTGTTTTAAAAAAATATTTTCAACTTCAAAATTTCATTTTTTCACCCCTACCCTCGACCCCCCACCCATCCGCCTACCAGCTTCCCCACCCCTCAAAAAAATTTAAGTTTCTTTTTAAAAAATATTTTCAATTTTAAAAATTATTTTCTACTCAGTAAAAATAAAAGATATTTCTCAAAAACATTTTTCATTCATAAATAAGACACTAAAATCTTTTCAGAAAAATATTTTCTACTCACCAACCAAACATGAAAAAATAAGTCAAAATCTACTTGTTTTCCAGGAAAACATTTTCCTTCGTACCAAACACACCCCTAACTTCTCTCGATAATTTTGGATACCTCATTTAATGTTTTGTTCTGATTTTTCATTTTTGGTGTAGTGATGTCTCCAGAGGTGACGATAGAAATGGTAAAAGAAGCAACAACACAAGGAGCATGCTTAATTTTTCGGAAATCGTCCATTTCATCAATGAAACTCAAGGATGTATGGAAGCATGTGAAGAACTACAATAACAAGGCAAATGAAATATCACAACACTACAAGGCTAATCAAGTTTATGTTATGGACAATACATCTTGTCCTAAGAAAGTGCAAGACAGAAAGGGAAAAGGCATAGCGAATTGCTCTGAGACTTATCAAGATCAAGCAATAGGTTCTTTAATAGAAAAAGACGAGCTAAAAAGGTCTAAGAGAATGAGAAGTACTAATGAGGAGGCACAAGTTAAAAGTAGTGGTACTTTAGAAATAGAGGAAAATCATTCTTTGCTTTCAAAAATAACTACAGAAAGACCACAAAAAAAAAAAAGACACTTGCAATGTACACCAGATCTTGATAAGAAATTAGACGAGGATGTTCACGAGTTAGGAGAAAAAGGTAAGTATTTAAAGACTTGGTTTTTATCCAAATAGAGATAAGTAGAAAAAACAAGAATGTTGGTTAAGGAAAATCTTAAGTAGACATTTTCTGAATGTTCACAATTTTACTATTGAATTCTCATTATTTGTCTTACCATGTCGATTTATCCCATCCTAAAGATGTTCTGGAGAGGATGTGTGTGCCGGACTTGACTACGGAATAGCTCACCTGCCATCTAAAGGTATCCAAGTATGAAAAAAGTAGATGAGATAGCCTAATTTATGATTCGAAGTTTTGTTGAATTTTTTTCATTTTTATGACCTTATGCAGAACTATCAATCACAAACACAACAAGCTTCAAATGTTCAGCCAACTATTACAATGAACTTCAACGAGGAACGTCATTTCAATGTGTTGGATTCAGGGGACTTGTCTGCAAATTTCAATGAATTATTTCAAGGAGCAGACATACATCAACCATCTGAAGTTCCTTTTGTAGCTTCACCGAGTTCAAATGATGATTCCTTAAACAGGTGGGATGAGTGGTTTAATGAACTTCTAGAACTTGATGATTTCGAGCTGAAATTATGCTAGAAAATCAGAGTTGGTAGATCTTACAACTGGCTAGATTACATTCCTAATATACATTAATGCACTTCTTGAGAAATTTGGCACTTTTATATGTGAAGATAGAATGTAATTGGAAAAGATGTTTGATAGTTTTTATTGATCTATCGTGATTGGCCTCTGTAGAACTCAAACAATCTTTATCTTTTGTTTTTTTTGCATATGTAAGGATCAACGATATATTTTCTTGTCATTTTGTGTGTTTGCTTTATCATATGACATGGAAGAGCTAGTCGTCGTTGGCAGTGGCGGATCTATGAAGGGCTGTGGGGGTGCCACGCCACCCCCGAACTTCGACGGAAACTTTATATATACATAGGTATATACATATAATATTTATACAAATATAAAGCGTGGCACCCACAGAAAAAAAATTGGCTGTGGTGCCACGGTAGGAGGGCAACTTTAGAAGGCTGATGTTGCGGGTTTGAATCCCATTTGTAGCTTTTTTTTGAGAAATTTGCTGCATACGTTTTTTAAGAAAAAAAAGAAGCTCCAAGCACCTTTTTTTAAGGAAAAACAGCTGGCACAATTTTTATTTTTATTTTAATAATTGTTATTGACTTAAATTAAATTAATTACATTATTACTCTTTTGACTTTTCTTTTATTTGATTAAATACTCAATAAAAGTGTAATATCTTATTATTTATATTTTATTGATTGATTTATGATATATATCGAAAAGACGAATAATTCAATCAAATATAAAATTAATTTAATCGATAAGTCTATTTGGCACCCACGAACTCTAAATCCTGGATCCGCCACTGGTCGTTGGGGCTAACAGAATAACTGCTCTATGTTCTCAACTTCCAACTGCCTACTTCAGCAAACTTGAAATATTTTATGTGTCAAATTGTGGAAGAGCTAAAGCTTCAAAGGCGGCCAAAGATGGCAGATTTGTTTCTCGCCAAGCGTGCTCTTGAATTTCGTGTGGATTCATGAATTCCCTGAAATGAAGACGTTTGTCCAATAGGGAATATATGTGAGTACACTGAGTCTCAAAAGTGTGAACAATAATGATGATGAGGTAAAAGTAGTTGATCTCAATAAATGGACACAACATAGGTTTAAATCTAAAGTTTGCCTTGCACCGTTAGCTGTGTAACTATTAACTCTAGTGTTCTCTTTCCATCTTAACTTGTAATGGCAGATTCTAGTAGTTTCTATGAATTCGAAGCTAGCTAGGAAGGTAATAAGTATTCGATGAAATAGTCCTAGTCAAGTTAGTTCGGACATCACTTGATACCTGTAGTGCAGATTGTTAATTTTCAAAAGTGCCATGCCCCGAGCCAACACCCTGGGCGGGACTGGCACTCGGAGACCATTTCTGGCCCCAAGAGAACTCTTGGCCTGGTTTACTTAACTCAGCGGAAGACTTAGCTCAATGAAACAATCTCAAATAATAACTTAAAGAATAATAAGTTGGCCAAAATGGCACTTAAGTTTTAAACAACATCTGAAAGATAAAGAAAGACATCTGAACTAATAACTATCTGACTGTCTATAAAGCCTCTAAAATACTGAGATGGATGTTGGGACAAAACCCCACAACATTCTAATAAATGAAAGACTGAAAGCGAATAAAAGAGTCCTTCGAAATACAAGGAGGCTCACCACTGACTCTGAGCTGCTCAACTGGATTAACGAGGTGTTGGGTGCTGATCCTGGTTACCTGTGTCTGCATCATAATAAGATGCAGGTCGATTGGCATCAGTACATTGAATGTACGAGTATGTGAGTTAGAATGCTAAACCACACATAGTCTAGAAGAAATCTGAAAGAAACTGAATAACTTACCTGGCTCAACTCAACTCAACCTGACTGACTCATTTCAATATAAAGCAATTTAAAGCAAGTGCAATATAAAGAAAAGTTGTTTAAAACATACTATAAATTTTGTGTGTATGCAAAGATACAATAAATCTGAGATGTATGTAGAAATACAAACGAACTGATGTATATAAAAATACAATAACTGATGTGGGAGTTTCTCTAACCGACAATCATCACTTAAGAGCTATAGTGATGATACAATGATCTTCCTCACGCTGCCAGCGCATCCTATACCTGGCCAAAGGTATAGGACCTGAACTGCCTAATGGATCCACTAGTCTATTTCGAAAGGGGTTCATCTAAAAAGTATGACCCATTTCTACCCATGATGACTATAGGGTTTTATGGAGAAGTGAGCTATCTGAACTCATGCCCGCCCCCAATTCGGTGCTCAATACTACTCCCAAAATATACTAGCTCTTATGTTTTAAAAACATACTTCTTCTGTGATTTGAGATTAGTGCTCAAAACTTAGCTCAAAGGCTATCTTGGAAATCTCAGTTTCCCTGCTTGCTTCATTTAGAAAGCTATTACTCTTTTCTAAAAACTAGCCCAAAGGCTCTTTGGAAATCTCAGTTTCCGTTCTTATTTAAATGTGAAAACATTTTAAATCTCTTTGGGAATACTTAGTCCCCATATACTTTTGAAGAAATGAACTTCAAACTTTACTCTTTACTCAACTTGAACTTGAAGTCTTAAAACAAAGTTAAAACTTTTGGAAAACTCTAAGAACTCATCTTGACTTGACTCTTACTTCTCTTGACTTTGATCTTAACTTTCCTTGAATTGGATTATGGATTCAAGGTTCATGATCTCATGTTTATGGATGATTTCATGATGTTTAGATGTATTTTAGAATGTTAGAATCGACTAGGAAACATAGGTACATCACTTAGGAACACATACGAGAAGGTGGGTAACGAATGGGGAGAACTGGCATCCCTGGCGCTTTGAGAGGCGTGAGGCGCCAGGCCCCCAAACCTCAGAGAGTTGGGTGGGGCGCTCTGGCTGGGGCGAAGCGCCAGAGGCCAAACCTCAGAGAACATTTTGGGGCGCGACGCCCCAACCCCTGTACCCAGGTGTTCTCGACTTTTCTCCTCCGTTTTTCATCTCTAAACCCTCCAAACTTCCATGGTACTTTCCCCAAACCCCTAGGATCAATTGTACCCTCATATACAACCAATCTAACTCGCAAAACAACCCGGAAACATGAATCAATTCACCCCCCCCCCCCCCCAAGCATCAACAATTCAACCAACAAGAATTCTACAATTTGTTCTTCAAGAACCTCACTTTTCAACATGTAAACAACTCCAAACCAAAAGGATTGAAACAAGTTGGTATGTGGGTGAACTAACCCAACACAGAAAGATCGCACATACCTTAATAGGGATCACCCCCGATGAATTCCACTCGCAATCTTGAATGATCTTGGCTAATTTTTGCCTTCTTCTCCCGTTCTTTCTTTCTCTCTCTCTTCTCCAATCCCTAAGTGTATTCTAACTTTTCAAAACTGAATTAAGTTCTTTTTTACCCCTATAAATCCCTAAAAACGAATTAGGAAATTAATTAGAGAAAAGACCACTTTGCCCTAAATCCGGATTGAAACTTTCCTCGATCCAACAGCCCAACTTCCTGAAGGCATATCTCACTCATACGATGTCGGAATTTCGTAAACTCAGCGGCATTGCAAAGATATCTCCAACGGCTTTACAACCATAACAATAACTTCTCCTAACTCATCCATATATAGGATTTATGCCGTTTGAAAATGGCCAAAACTCACTTTCTTAACTTAGACAAAATTTCCAGATTTCCTTATTCTTTCCAAAAATCATTATTTTCAGATTTTAAACTCTTTCTAGTCGTTTCTAGGTGCGAGATGTTACAAAAAGAGCCTATAAATATCTTATTTCTTGTGATGGGAATGTTATATGGTGATGTGGTGGGAATAAAAGGCACTAGGCTTGGGGACACTAAAAACATTATAGCTGAAGTAATTGTTGTTAGTTGGTTATAAAGTGATCTAGTCTATTGTCTTGTGCCTAGAAAAAGAATTTCTATTTGACTGAAATGCTACACACCCTGTGAGAATTATCACGCCCCGAGTCTACACCCTGGACATGACCGACACTTGCGAACCATTGCTAGCTCCCAAGTGAACCTTCGGTCGGGCTGACTACTTAGTGGAAGATTTCACTCAAGCAAATTAAAAGCTCTAAAGAGAAAAATATAACTCAACTGTCTCAAATATTCATTTAAGTAAAATATAATATTCGCAAAACACTTTAAAAAGAGAATTTCTAAAAACAACTTAACTCTAGCTATCTATGAAGTCTCTAAGTTCAACATAGACGTAGGTACAAGACCTTCGACTCCCTAAAGTAAATATTGAAATGAAAAACAGGGCCCTCCAGAATGCAAGGAGGACTCCCCAAAACTCTCAAATGGGAAGTGCAAAGTGATCTCAATGAAGCACCCGTTGATGATCCTAAACACATGTATCTACATCATAAAAAGATGCAGGTTGAATGACATCAGTACATTGAATGTGCGAGTATGTGATATAGCCGAAGCGAAATGACTGAATGAAAGGACATATATATATATATATATATATATATATAAAACTGAGTGTAAAGAAAGAAATGAGTGAAATCATAAAACTTTACAAAATACTTACTCATATCTGAACTCAACATATTAAATGATATGATAAAAATACACGTTTAAATCTATTTAAGAGATTTTCTAACCAATAACCATTACTATAAGCAACGTGATAATACGACGATTCGCCCACACTGCCAGAATTGTCCTATCTATACATTGCCTGAATATGGAACATCTCAACTAAGTGGATCCACTAAAGCTCTGCTCAAAAGCAATAAGGAGTCGTCTAAAAATTACGATATTTTACCCATGTTGGCTACATAATTTATGAGATATGTGAGTTGTCTGAACTCATCCTCATTGCGGTGCTCAATACTACTCCCAATAAATATATACTCATGCTCAAATGTATAAAACATACTCTTTCTCAATTGGAGATAATTGCTCAAAATATCCTCTTAAAAGAGGTAACTGCTTTGAAATATCTCCGAACTCACAAACTAATTTAGAAATTAGAATTTTTCTTTTCTCAATTTAAAAAGTGATACATTTAAGAATATTTAGTTCCCTTATACTTTTAGCCAAATCATGCTTAAAACTCTTTCTCAAAACTGAAACCTGGAAGAGACAACAATTCATGCAATTCAAGACTACATTCATGATATCAAGCATTTCATCAATCAATCAATAAGGGTCACAACAAGGCAATTACATCATCATGATCATCGCATAGACTTTTCATTTCAATCACTTTTTATTCAATAAGATTTAGCAAGTGGACAATTAATCATTCACCTCATCCCCATTACACTCAACACACAAACAACGAAGGGAATACACGAATTCTACTAGAATACAAGATTTAGGAGATCACTTGCCTTAAATCAATCAATTAATCACTTCAAGAGTTGAGTCATCCACTTCCGACCAATTTCTAAAGCTACACAATAAAAAGCAATCAAGTTTTGACAATAAATTTCCGGAAACAACAATACTCACATTAATTTCTTTGAAAAATGGGTGAATCAACTCAAAACCCAACTCTGAAAATAAGGTTTGAATCTGAAATTTAATACTTGAAAATATTACTCAAGGCCTTAGGAACTCATTGGTGAAAATCAATTCGAAAAAGGACTTAAAATCAGTTTACAATCTCCATTTTAGTTAAGAACTTGAGTTCTTGAAAAACCTTGTCATTTACCAATCAAAATCCAAATTTTGAGGTTATAATTCATAAATAATCAAGGGAAAATTACATGGTTAAGCAAACATATACTAGTTAATTAATCATCATAGCTACAATTATGTTAATTACCACTCGCGGTCAACATTCAATGATAATTACGTTGGCTAGGGTTTCGAGTCTGTATAATTCACACGTTTGTATAATATAATTTGCATAACTTTTGCATAATATAATTTGTATAATTGTTTAAAGTTGGAATGTTTGTGTTTGTATAAATTCGTTATTTTGAGTTTATACAAAAATAATAACCGCGAATTATACAATCTCACCCGTGAAATATACAAACCCGCGAATTATATAAACGGAGCATCTTAAAGTGTAGCTACAGCCCGTAAATATGCATACTATAGCTATGAGCATAATTAACTTTATTATAGTGGCTATTTGCGAAAATTCCTTAGTAATCAAAGGGATAAGAAGTTTTAGGGTCATAAAAGCTTACCCAAATGATTTAACACAAGAAAATCTTTCACAAATCACCTCCGGGGATTTCCCGAGCTTAAAATAGAAAATAGGGCTTAAACTCCAAAAATGGCAAGTCAAATCCCTCCCCCCCCCCCCTGATGTCGCTTTTGTGACCATGGGTTCACTTAAGCGAATCCCGCAAAAGTTGGGGACATCGTGATCGCGAACTAGACCTTTGCCAACGCCAAGGTCACGAAAGAAGAGGTTCATTTGCAAACGCGAAGGTCAACTGGAATTGACCCTTCGCGAAAACAAGCTATCCCTCGTTGTCGCGAGGTGCACCAGAACACAGACATTAGCAAAATCAACTATCTCTCAAAATATCGAAAAGACTCTCAGGATTCGTTCAGAACCCCGTATACACAAACCACATATGCATAAGACTGGGCATCGGACCGAAATGGGACCACCGGACCGGAATGAACCGGTACCGGACCGGAACGGGACGGTTTGACCAGGTTGTTGACCTGTACCGGGATGAACCGGACCGGAATTACCGGGATGGAGGCTCAGTTCCGTCCCGTCCCACTATATACCGGGATAGAACCGGGACGGACCGGAATGGACCGGAACGGAACGGAATGGGATAAACGGGATGGCACATATAGCTATTTCAAAAAATAATTATTTTTTTGAGTAATTTTAAATTACGAAAATTCGAATGTTTTTTTTATTTTTCTAAGTTATATTAGTTTATAGTATTTAAGTTTTAAAATTTATAATAATTTTACTTAAGTTTATTTTAAAGATTTTTTTTTTTAATTTTTACATATATAAGTTGTAAGTTAAGTTTAATAAAGTTTTTTTTTAGTTTTTGAGCTTATGTAGTTATGTTATAAGTTTTAAAGATTTGAATCTTTTGAAGTTTATAAGTTATTAAGTTATACTTATAATTTGTAAGTTAAATAACTTAAGTTTGTAATTTTAAAAAAATTAAATAAACAAAAAAGAAATGCTAATAAAAGTAAATAATGACAAAAATATTATTTTTTATTTTAATTAAAAATGATTTACCGGGACCGGACCGGTACCGGACCGGACCGGAACGGAACCGGAATGAACCGGGATGAACCGGTACCGGTATACCGGTACCAAATCATGGTACCGTTCCGTTCCGTGTACCGGTTCAATGTATCCCATCCCGTCCCGAATACTACCGGACCGGGACGGACCGGAATGGTACCGGAACGGACCGGAATGGTACCGGTACAACCCGTTCCGGTGCCCAGCCTTACATATGCATATCAATTACATCCAACGTTCCGAACTCAACGGAACAATCAAAACACAAATCTGAGGTCTCATTGACCCAACATCCGTGAAAACCACAAGAAACTAACTCAACGCCTAAAAAGGCTAAAACAAGCTTGATACCTCTCAAAAATCAACCAACACCTTACCTAAGCCTAAAATCATCCCCCAAATCCAACAGAACTCTCAAAATTCTGATTGGAGCATCTAAACCCCGAACGTTTACCAAAGGCTAAATTTCCACAGTTTCATAACTTAGGACCTCAAATCCTCAAAAGAACTCCGAATTTAAAATCGACAATTTTCAAACCGTATACCACATTCCGAGATTAATGGAATCGACAAAATTCCATTCCGACAGTCGAAACTTCAAAAGACACTGAAAACCTCTTTTAAACAAAGTTAGCCTTTCAAACACAAATCTTACCAAATTCTCAACTTAAAACTCTAAGTTCGTAACCAACTTTCAAAAATTAAACATAAAATTCTCGGGGTCGATAATAGGAAGGGCAAAATGGTAAATTCACGAAGTTTTCCCAAAATGACCGACCGGATCAATACATTACTGACATCTAAGTTTCAATCTTAGGAGAGTTACAATGATTTGTATGAGCCTTAAAAAAATTTATAATAAGAATGAGCTTATAACCAATACATGTAATTACATTTTACAACAAGGTAAAAGACCTCAGAAATTCTTTGTTAGATGCCTAGGATGTAACAGGTTGCAGACCTCACACCTCAATCCTATAGAGCTCAAAGGGGAGGAAGCCAAAAAAATTGAAGTGCACAGCAAAGAGAAGAGTTTCTTTTTTCCTTTTTTGACATTTCTTTTTCTTCTGCATTTGATCATCTACCTTCCTCCTTTCCGACTTGTATCGAGCCATCTCTCATCAATTTTAAGCTGAGACTGTTGAATCGTTCACGAGAATACTGTCTCGATGCTTTTCTCCAATCCGTACCAGCCTTCATCATCACAGCAAATTCCTCGTAACTAATGCGACCATCCTGCATGGTTATAGACAATGTAACTGATGAACTTTGATGCTGTGGTAAGAAACTAAAAGCTCAAAATGAACGGCATTAAGTCGAAATGAATGATAAAGTTGAACAGAAGATCAGTGAATGGAAAAGAAAATACAATTTAGAAAGGAGAATATATAAATACTCTCCTCAATTAGTCCCCCAATCCCACTACAGACTTAAACTTTGCGGGAGGCCTATTACTCCTTGTTCTTGTCCAAAATGTATCTACTACAACATTGAGACGCCACGTGACGTGCAGTATTTACTCTCATAAAGCGCCTGAGGTGAAAAGAATCAAAAATTTATTTTTTGTAGCATTTCTTCTATTATATATACCATCCTACTCTTTTTTTAATGCTTTCTTAATCTTTCTCTTCCTTTTTCTTTTTTTAAATGACAAAGACAAAGGGAAACATGCAACAGCTACCCTTTGAGTGCGCACAGGGTAAAACCCACATTCTTATAGCTCGCAAACTACACAGGAGAGGTAACCCACACTAGACAAGCCAGGTGCGACGAGCTCAACCCAGAAGGCAAACCCCTTGCTTTCGTTGGCAAGGGGTTTCGAACTTGTGACCTCCAACATGGAAGTCTCAAGCCCAAACCACTGGACCACCCTAAAGGGTCTTTCTCTTCCTTTTTCTTATTCCCTTACCTATGACCCTTCTTTTCCTTTTCTACTAATTTGAGTTGTTTGATAGGAACATTTGATTTTTTGTACTGATTGAGCTGTTTAAGTTGCCAGAAAACTAAAACTAGGTTGAATCCAGATTTTTCCAATGTGAAGCTCTCCCTCCATCTTTTTCCAGATTTAGCCAGAGGACATTAACATGTTGGGGAGACGGAAAAGAAGTGAAAAAGGAAAAAGGGATAAATGACATGAGCAGCACATGCATACACCCTAATGTTCACATTTGGCATATATGTACCTCTCAGGATGATAGAAGATACATATTTTACAAGTACAAGGGGATAATATGTCTTCAACAAAGTTTACGTGTAGTTGGGACTCCGGAACCAGATGAGGGGGGTATTTATGGTTCCACAAGCAATTAAAGAGACATTTGTAAGAGACGTCTATGCACTAAGTATGAAATCCGGTAGATATACATGAATGGACATACAAAAAATACTGACCTTGTCAGTGTCAACATCATGCATAATGGCATTGATGACTTCCTCACTGTTGCCACCATCCTCACCACTTAAGGCACTGCGCAGCTCCTCAATTTCTATGTAACCACTCTGATTTCTGTCGAAAACTGAAAATGCTTTGTGCAGGTGCTCATCATTTGCTATCTTTCTAAGATGAACAGATACAGCGACAAACTCCCCGTAATTTAAGCTTCCATCTCCATCAACATCCGCCTGTAAAAGCGAAGCAGAAGATCAAAAAAGGAACACTTATATTAATATTAGCCGCTTGACTTATAAATATACATTTAGTCCTCGTAAAGTTGAAAGAAAATCCAATCAAGCAAAATGAAGTGCATGAGAATGCTTACAGCTTCCATAAGAATCTGAAGATCAGCATCAGGGATCTGATGGCCCAGCTTTTGCAGACCATTTTTAAGTTCTCCAAGGTTAATCTTGTCTTTCTTTCCTGTATCCATCATATCAAATGCTTCCTTCATTCCAGCCACTTCTTCCGCTGATAAAAACTCGGCCATAATCTGTGCAAGCAATGAAGAAAGAATATAACCCCAGAAACTTTTGTGAGAAGGCAGAAATGGTTTGTCCTTATTTTGGGCTTTAAGAATTACGCATATGAAGATATCCTTCTGAGAAGGTGCAGAAAGCTAACGATATGTATAGAACTGCAAATGAAAAGGAAATAATTTACCATTAGAGCTCTTTTCTTGAGCTTGTTCATTACTGAAAATTGTTTAAGCCTTGCTTTCACAGTCTCACCCAATGAGACATTTGGTGCTTTCTTTATATTTGTAACCAGGTATGCTCTGCATTCATGTATATGCGCGAAAGCCCAAAAAAAGTCACTAAATTGAACTTATGAAACTGAGAGAGAATAAACAACAAGCAAATGAAAGTATAGCATCTCAACAGTCAACAAACATTACCAAGAACCTGCTGAGCTGTGAGCCGTCGAGTTGGATCTGGATCAAGCATCTTCTTTACAAGATCCTTTGCATTATCAGAAACCTTAGGCCATGGATCTCTCTTGAAATCAACCACAGAGCGAATAATTGCTTGGGCTACTCCTTGTTCAGTCTCTGCACATATTCAGTAGAATTTTAGGCAATTACTGAGAAAACTGTGAGTAAATTAATGGAAGCACAAAGTACTGACTATCACAGGCCAAAAGGAAAAAAGGAACTTTGATTTAGATTAGTCCAGGAAGAGGTGGGATTCACTCTTGCAGCCACCCTCACCTAGTCATCTACGATGTTAACAATGCATCAATATGTTTCAAATTCCATTTTATTGTGACACTCATTAATTAATCACCAAGTTCTAAGAAATGCATAGTATGCATCAAGGTTAATTACTTTGTTCTTTGCGGTGAACCGAGGCATATTACTTGTTACATAAAGAAGGGAAATAAAAGAAACGGACCTGCCCAGAAAGGTGGAACACCACAAAGAAGAATATAAAGGATAACTCCAGCACTCCAGACGTCAACCTCTGGGCCATAATTGCGTTTTAGGACCTCTGGAGCCATGTAATAAGGACTTCCCACTATCTCGTTAAACTGCTCCCCTGTTAAAGAAAATAAAGATGACTCCAAATATTAATCTTTTCTAGCATCAAAAAAGTTCTAACACACTGTGCCATTAGTAATTGCATTACCAGGTTTAAAGAACACTGATAATCCAAAGTCAATAGCCTTCAGAGGAGCAGCTTCTTTCTTGTTACCAAAGAGAAAGTTCTCAGGTTTGAGATCACGATGCATTACTCCATGCATATGACACATCTGAAATGTCATTGAAACTCCGTAAGTTGAAAATTGAAAGAAGAGCAGTCATTTCTTGAGGAAACATAATGCAACTGGAAAGTGAACATTGACCAAAGATGTATGAGCAACCACATACATTAAATTGTATAAATTTGGGATAATTAGCCATCGTGTTTGCATCAGTTACCACCCCGTTCTTATAACAACTCTAAACAACTAAATGTAGAAACATGAACTTCTTAAACCTATTCCATAAAATGAATATCTCTCTCTAATATGTAATTATGTAAGTTGAGCTCTCATGTCATTATGGTCACCAAATACAGTTTAAAATTGAACCCTGTTAGCAACAATCCCATGCTATACCAACTAATGCTGAAAGCAAGCTACAATAGATCTCCCACTCTGGAAATAGAATATAAAGACCAGCATCTTACTCGTTACTGACAGTTATTTTACATTTCTATTATTCTAATTGCATCTATACAAATAAGCTATCTGCCTTATCAAAAAAAATCTATACAAATAAGCTATCTGTCTAAAACTATCACAAGTTGCGATTCATAGTTGACATTTGGATGGTGAAACTGAAATCCTCTGTGTTATTAGCTTCTTTAAGTTTCATTTAAATGGTTAGCACGAAAGTATATAATTTAAAAGGTATTTGCATGAGAAAAATATAGGACAATGAAACAGTTGCCAAGAAAGAAAAATTGACAAGACAAGATAAGAAAGATAAAAAACCTAACAACGTTTAGAGCATGCATACACTTTTTACCTAAGTTGCTCGGACTCTCCAAAATTGTTGCCGCACCAGAGTCGGATCCTCCAAAAATGCACTACTTTTGGAGGATCCGACACGCACCTGTCGACATTTTCGAAGAGTTCGAGCAACATCGCTTTTTACTATATTTGACATCTAGGTATAATGATATTGGAAGATAAAATCTAGTCTAGTTAAATGCTATAGGATCTCAACGTGTGAAATGAATCAAATAAAAACGTTAAGCACTCATTTACAAACAGCAAAGTAGATCCTGAGCTAAGAAAGGGAGTGTCCTATCTACCAAGAGAGTGCAGACAAACTCAGAAAAGGAGTGGCTCCCGTCCCTAAACAAAACACCAGTCAGCTTCCGTTTTCCTTCTAAGAGACAGTAATCGGCATAACAAAGTAGGAAAATTTACTGAAGAAGTGGGGAAGATATTCTTAAAAGAGATTCTTCAACAAGAACATTCATTCTGCTTACAAACAGGAAACTTCAATCTCAACATTCTTTTCTAGTCTAAATTGACACTTTCAGTTGGCATTGTCGAATTCAAACTTCATTAACATAATCCTAAATTAGCAACCCCTAAATTACATGAAATAAACAAACAAGTTGCAATTATACATGAAAAGCAAAGACAAGCATCAATTAGTAAAATTGTACCTGAACAACTTCTACTATAGTCTTCATAATAACCGCAGCTGCTCTCTCCGTATAGTGTCCCCTAGCAACAATCCTATCAAACAACTCACCCCCCTCACAAAGTTCCATCACAATATGCACTGCATTATCATCCTCATAAGTGTCCTTCAAGGTCACAATATTAGGATGTTTAGGCAAATGCTTCATGATCTCAACTTCTCTCCTAACATCATCGATATCTACAGCAGTCCTAAGTTTGTTCTTCGATATCGATTTGCAAGCATATTTGTCCCCTGTATCAACATCAGTACATAAATATGTAACCCCAAATTCTCCTCTTCCTAGCTCACAACCAAGATCATATTTTTCTTGAATATTGTGTCCTGTTGGATCTTTCAACACAACAAGCTTGTTTCCATCACCTCCAGATGCTTGAGTTGCACCATAATCAAGAGCAAAAGGGTTTGGTTTGTTCTTCTTCTTATTTTCAGAAGAATTACCAGGTGTCCCACAGCAATTTCCCATAACAATTTCAAAATATCAAATACTGAAAAAACATAACAATAAAAAATCAATCTTTGAGCTAAACAATGAAACCACTAATGTCGTATTCAAAGATTCATTCAGATTCTAACTTTCTTGAAACAAAAAAACACAAAAAGCATGCATTTTTAAGAGATCTTCAAGAATATGAACCCATATTTCAAGATTCTGATAAATTTCTAATCTTTTTTCAAACACCAACATATAAATTCAAAAAACAAGAAGAAAAAAAGATACCAACATACAGAAACAACATTAAAAACCAAGATTAAACAGCAATGAAATGTAGAAAAAAAAAACCTGCAGAAAAGTAAAATGTTGCCTTTTTTGTTGTTGTTGTTGGAGATAAGAATTGGAGGGTAGTTGTGGAATTAAGAGAAGAATTTGAATATGAGAAGAAAGTTGTTCATGAAGGTGTGAAAACTAAATTCACCATTGGAAGAGAGAGTCAAAGCTCTTTTCTACAGAGACTTTTCTCTCTTGGAAACCCCCATCTTATTTTCCCCATTTCTCTATATTTTTTCTCTGTCATTTCAAAGGATATTTTCATGGTTTTCAAACTATGTTATAGAAAAATTTGATTTAGATGCTCGAATTATCATGTACTATTTTTGTTTGAATTTATTTATCCTGTTTGGATTTAGGATGAATTTTTTTTAAAAAAATCTTGTAATTTTAATTAACAATAAGTTAAATGTATCAAGTAATTTTAAGCATGTTAGTAAATAATTGAATTAAAAAATTATTTTGAAAAAAATACATATATGAGATAAATAACAATAAGTTAAATGTATCAAGTAATTTTAAGCATGTTAGTAAATAATTGAATTAAAAAATTATTTTGAAAAAAATACATATATGAGATAAATAAATTGAAATGGAGAAAGTACTTATATTTGTTCTGATCTATTAGTACTTTTTATTTAATTTTAAAAAAAAAAACTTTTGCAGGTGTAAATAAATTGACTACATAAAACACATCATTCCTAATTAGAAATGTTTGATGTTTTATTTATGGGCAAATTGCAGAAATCACATACTTTTAAGGGAAAATTACAATTTATCCCTTAAAAATTTATAATTACAGAAATCCCTCATTTTCGCGCATCAGATTAGTGTATCACGCTTATATTATTGTATCTCGCGCATCAGATTAATGTATCAGCGCTTATATTATTGTATCTCGCGCATTAGATTAATGTATCAACGCTTATATTATTGTATCTCGCGCATGTATCAGCACTTATATAGCTCGGATACATTAATCTGATGCGTGAGATACAATAATATAAGCGTTGATACATTAATCTGATGCGCGAGATGCAATATTATAAGCGCTGATACATTAGTCTGATGCGCGAGATATAATAATATAAGCGCTGATACATTAATCTGATGTGCGAGATACAATAATATAAGCGTTGATACATTAATCTGATACGCGAAAATGAGGGATTTTGGAAATTTGTAAAACTTATAGGAGATAGTGGTAATAAGTAAACTAAAATGTGAAATTTCTATAATTTTTCCTTTATTTATTGAGGCTAATTTGTATAGAAAATGACATGTTTTTAAAAATTAATTTATCTATATAATGTACATGTAAAAGCTTTTCAAATTTTGAAGTGAAAATGTCTGATAAAAATTATTTATTATATGTTGAAATACTTAATAAAAAAATTTATTATATGAGTGTCTAAATGAAGTTACTAACCATTCTAAGGAGTTGCGATTTATAGTTCTATATTTTTTTTAATAATTATATTAAATGAGTTTTCATTATTTTTAAGCATTACTGAAAGAATATGAATAAATTTGTGTTTGATTATAGTCCAAATTTAATCAAAGAAGAATAAAACTATAGTGATGAATTTGAAAATATTCATGTACTATTATATAGTGTCCTTTTGAAACTTTAGATCTATCAATTTCTCAAACAGAATAATGAGACACAACAACTGTTTCCCCTTTGTACTTTGTTTTTTCCTTCTGATTTCACATTTTAAATGCTGAATCGGACAAAAATCTCAACGTTCAACATAATATACTAGCATTTAAATATAATCAATTATTTCTTGACGTAACTGACCTAGCGAGAGGTATATGTGCATCCGTTAATCTTGAAAAAAACTTTATATATATACATTGAAGAACTATCATATATTAGATTGGAGCAATTGATCGTTGTTCCCCCCTTGGCTCTTGATGCAACTGGGTGGTCTGAGTTCGAACCTCGGTGACAATACTCTTTGCAACTTTGTGATGAATAATCGACGTATACATATACAAAAGTTAATGGTGTCTTTGGCTCTTGATGCAAGTGGTGATTCGATTTCGAACTTCGATGACAATATTCTTTGCAACTTTGTCATGAATAATCGACGTAGATGTATACTAAAGTTAGTGGTGTCTTTGGCTCTTGATGCAAGTGGTGGTTCGAGTTCGAACTTCGATGACAATATTCTTTGTAACTTTGTCATGAATAATCGACGTATACATATACTAAAGTTAGTGGTGTCTTTGGCTCTTGATGCAAGTGGTGGTTCGAGTTCGAACTTCGATGACATATTTTTTGTAACTTTGTCATGAATAATCGACGTATACATATACTAAAGTTAGTGGTGTCTTTGGCTCTTGATGCAAGTGGTGGTTCGAGTTCGAACTTCGATGACAATATTCTTTATAACTTTGTTATGAATAATCGGCATATACATATACTAAAGTTAGTGGTGTCTTCATTGTGTTTATATCCTGAATCCACATTTGTTTCTAGTAAATCTAGATAATGTGTAGTAAGTATTTTTTTAATGTTTTTTGTTTTGTTTCTTTCTGTAGTTTTCTTGGTAAATATACATTTTTTACCATTATTATTTCTTGTCTTTACCACTTTTTTCTTCCTTGTTTTATTTTTTTAATATTTGTGGCACTTTATAGCCCCACCAATGTCTACTATAGTATAGACAATTGTCAGGATGAATACATGCGGTTTCTTTTCAAATTTTCAATTATGAGAACAGCTTTTCTTTTTCTATAGTATAATTATCAGAATTTTATTTTTTTTAAAATTACGTTGTTAGTGTAATTTAATTGATTAAAGTAAGTTTTTACTACACTACATTTTGTAGCGTTGCTAATTAATTAAGATTATAAAAGTTAATTATATGTTGTTGTTAATCAACTTAACCGAAATGGCGTAAACATATATTGTAGTCGAAAATGAGTTTTAACAGTAAAATAGAGTATCCCACTTATTTTTTCCAACTTGTAAATATTGTAATTTGTAACAGAAAAAAGATTAATAACCTTCAATGTGTTATTAATAATTTTTAAGGTACAATATAATAGAAAAAGAAAAAGAAAAAAATTAAAATAAATAATGGTGGGTTCTTCCTTTTACCTCACAAGATAGAAAAATGTCTCCATAAATCCTCAGCCCAAAAAAGTATCAAATATTTATAAAAAAGAACAGATTAAGCAAAACTATATTTTTAAAAAAAGTACATCTTTGTTGAATATAATAGATCCACAAACCAACTAGGGTTGTCTCGAGTAGTAAGTATTTCTTCATTCTTAATCAGAGGTTTCGAGTTTGAGTCTTTCTAAATATGGAGTCATATTTGTTAGAGAGTGCTTTACCCTAATGTGGGACTTCTCGAAGTGAATTCAAATTTAATCGGACACCAATATAAATACCAACATCAAATTGAAAAACAAAAATAAATTAAAATAGATCCACTAGCCCGCAAAAATTAATTGCTAGAGGAATGGGGTAGAAGACTTTGCTCTAAATTAATAGTAATAGGGTGGACAATTGTAGTTTTTATCAATATATTAAAGAGAATGTTCATGAAGAATTTATAATTGAAGTAAACAAGAGATGATCACGAGTCTCAAGGTGGAATTGTAGCTATGAAATTTTTTACATTTTTTTTAGTTCAAAAACCACGAGTGATAAAATTTTGAAATTTTCAAAAATTTGAGAAATAATAATTAAATATTTTTACTCTAAATTACTCGCAAGAAAATGAAAACAACTCTAATTTATAATACGATCAAACACAATTTTAATTTTTTATTTAAGATAAGAGTCTGAAAAATATCCCAATTTTGGTCGGATTTGTTGTTGCGATACTAAACTTTCATGAGGACCTATTACCTCCCTAGACTATTTAATACCGTATTTTAAACATATATATATTTGCTCACGTGGACATAAAAAATAATGCAAAATTATAAATAGTAATGTGTCCACGTGGGCACATATATACCTTTAAAATACACTATTAAATAGTTCAGGGGTAAAAAATATGATATTAAATAGTCTAAAGAGGTAATAGGTCCTTATGAAAGTTTAGTATCGCAAAAATAAAAATTATTTTTTTGAAATTTTACCATAACATGGTCAAATAGGAAAATGGAACGTTAGGAAACAAATTCATATATGACTGAAAATTTATTAGAAAAAGAATCCCAACTACTTTCTGTTCATAGACTTCTAGAAGCACAAATCAAAGCTTTATTTATAGAAAAAAGAGAGAGTAAAAAAGAAGAAGATAAAATGAATGAGTTGTTTTATTTATTTATTTGTGTTTAGTAATAAATAAAAGATATTATTTTAAAAAATTATATAATAAATATAAATAACTGGGAGGTAAGAATGAAACTTATTAAAGGGTGAGAAGAAAACAATGAATTTGAAATATTAGTTATAGAACTTAATTTTTCTGACTTCCACTAGAAAGTTATTTCTTCATTTTCAACAAATTTATTTTTTATAGAAGGCATAATTTATTTATTTTTATATATGTATTTTTTATTTATATACAAAAATAAGAAAGAAAAATAGATTGCATAATCATGTAGTCAATTTATTATTACCCTTATTTAGAAGAGGGAGTTGTGAAGGACGAACACAAGTCCAAAAAGTTGTTCCAAATGTAATTCAAGTTGTACTATGTTAAGGTCCACTTTATTAAATAAGTACTGTACTAGCTTTGATAATACATAAGTATTAATTATAACTTGGCTTGTAATTTCTTTTAAGTCCCCACGTGTCTTTGTTACTAAAATTTTATAGTTGTCGTGATATTGAAAGTTTATTTGATAGGGTTTTCTTCTGGCCAACATTGAACTCTCCATCTCTACTCACCTTTTCAATTTTCACTTTGTTATTCTTTCTCTCCATCATAGTAATGAAGTTGTTGGATTGAAGTTCCAATTTCTCTGCTTCTCAGGTATTCAATTCTTAATCATTGTTACATAATGTCTTTTTATATCCTCCGATAGTTTCCTCAAATCTTCGAAAATGTTTCGTGATAGAAGCTTTTTAATGTTTCAGGAGAAGAAAGTGATAAGCTAGGTCATCGAAATGATGACGAAGTTGATAAAGGTTGCCTAGAATTGGAAGAAATTCCAACTAGAACACATGCAACTTTTCCCCCAAAAGTTCAACCGCGTAAATTCATTGTCTTTTCCTATTTGAAAGTACTTCAAGAAAATAAGTCATTATTTCTGCAATTTATCTCTATAAGGATTTAATTGAACTTTTTAAGTTGATT